CAATTCAACCTTACAAATCTGGCTAGACAAGAGGATGTACACTGGTACAGATAGGAACTGGAAACAGGGAATCCAAGACAGATGATCCCTTCAGGACCAGAGGTGAGAGTGGCGATGCCGGGAGGGTGGAGGGAAGGTTGGGTAGAAAGGGGGAACCTATTACAAAGATCTACATATAACCCCTCCCTGGAGATGGACAATGGAAAAGTTGGTGAAGTGAGATGTCAGACAGTGTAAGAAATGACAAAAATAATAATAATTTATAAATCATTAAAAATTCATGAGGCAGGGTAGACTGGGAGGGAGGGAAGAAATGAGCTGATACCAAGGATTCATGTAGAAAGCAAATGTTTGGAGAATGATGATGGTGAGAAATGTACAAATGTGCTTGACACAATAGATGTATGTATGGATTGTAATGAGAGTTGTATGAGCCCCCAATAAAATAATTTTTAAATAGCTTGTTTTAAACATAATTTATCTTAGTAAATTTGAGCAAGATATCAAAACGCGTTTAGCTTCATGTTCCTATAGAAAGAGTTGACCATGTTTGAGAATTTGTTTTTGTGGTTTTCTTGTGTGACTATATTGTTTTATTGTATGACCATTTGTTTTATTGTATGACTTTTGTGTTCAACCTGTGGGCATTTAACCTAGAAGCATTTCATCATTTAGCTAATCTGTCCATTTTATAGGGATTTTCATTCGTTGATCCTGCTCTCTGTTAGATTTTGGACTATTATCACTGACCCACTGATTGTTCATAACCAATTGTTGTCAGGAAGGAAGTTAATATTCCATTTCAGATTCAAGAATTTTTCCATCCAGAAATAATTTTTAATTTTTGTTTTGATTTTGTGTTATAAACCATATTGACACAACCAAAGTAACTGTTTGAATGAAGTAGCATTTTCAGACATACTAATTAGATTTTGTGGTTTTCAGTTTATAACATGTTTGTCCTTAACTGGTGAATTTTCCATCATGAAATTAGCAATCTGCCCTAGAATGAGGTACTGTATAATCAGAGGGAAATTAAAACTCTGAGTAAAATTAATTCTGGGTCTGGTACTCTGGCAGTCAATAAGTGGGTTAAAGAATACAGATTACATTTGTAGCATTATGAAGCCGTTTTCACATGGTCTGCTGCATTAAATCTCAAGCCCACCCTGCACGGGGTCAGACACAACAACTAAAGGGTGTGATGTGGATATTGTCTTTGGTTACACATCATTTTAGTTTAGTAGTGTGCATTAACAGGAATAAGACAAACATAATAATGTCAGCTAAACTTTAATAAAGGTGGCACAGCATATAAAGTGCTAGCTAGGCTGACAGCCAGACGATTCATAATTCGAACCCACCAGTTGCTCTTTCAGGGGAAGATGTGGCAATCTGCTTCTTTCAAGATTTATAGCTTTTAAAATCTGATGGGGGCAGTTAGAGTCTGTCCTACAGTCACCAAGAGTTGGTATCAATTGGAAACAGCGGACTGACTTTTACTTTTTTAAATCCTTATTAATCCTATGTGTGTAAAATTGCTACTTGGCGGGAGAAAGATTGACTTTCTATTCTGGTAAACAGCCTTAAAAACCCACAGGGGCAGTTTTACTTTGTCCTATAGGGTTGCTATGAGTCAGAATGGACTTGTTAAGGGTAAAGGTTGTGGATTTTTCTGTGTATGTGCCAAACTTCAATACAGTTTTGGATTAACTCAGTGATTTCCCTCAACCCCCAAACATTGGAATATTAATAAAAATATCTGTGATTCAAATCCACTAGTTCTGTTCCCACGGAGAAAAGTGAGGCTGTCTGCTCCTGTAAGGTTTTACAACCTCTGAAACCCTATATACAGTTGTGATAAATCAATAATCACTTGAAGGCTGTAGCTTTTAGGGGGGATGTGTTGGTTAAACTCTATTACACACAGACTTCTTAATATTTACACTGGATGATATTACTCTTTTACCACAGACTTCTTAGAATTTACATGGGAGGATATTGTAAATCACTGATTTCTATCACACTCACTGCCCTGGAGTCAATTCTAACTCAGTGACTATGGATAGAGTAGAACTGTTCCTGTGGGTTTATGAGGCTGTAAATCTGTACAGCAGCAAAGTCTCATCTTCCTCCTGCAGAGTGGTTGACTTTGAACTTCTTAGCAGCCCAATGCATAGCTTACTCTCCCTATAGTCACCAGGGATACAGGCAGAGTAAAAGATGAAAAAGAAATCAATGTCTTAACTGAGGCACTGGAGTAATGGATTTGTAAATTCAGAATTTCAATGATTACAGAGAAAGTATTTGTACTTTCCAGGGATATAGTAAATATTCAGAGATATTTACTTACTGGATGTTACCTACTGCACCCTAATTTGATCCTGACATTATTTGTGATGTTACATGAATACCCAAGATGATACTCACTACATTGGGGTGATTCCTACCCACAGTGACCCTATTAAATAGGGCAGAAGTGACCCTGTGGGGTTCAGAGATTGTTATCTCTTTACAGGAGTAGAAAGCCTTGTCTTTCTCCTGCAAAGTGGCTGGTGGTTTCAAACTTCTAACCTTTCTCTTGGCACCCCAACTCATAATCACTATGCCACCAGGGGGTCCCCTATATGAACACAGTTAACTAAAAAACATTTCTTAGGCCAAGTTATTTTTCAGGTGAAAATTCTTTATCATAGATGGAACATAAAATAAAACTATGACAAACTAATTTGGTTGATAAAATAAGTACTCTAAAACTCTAAATCTGTCAGTATCTCTAAATACTTGCCCTTTACACATATTCCTGTTTAGTTAAAAATATAAATTCCATCCTTTATGTTATTCAGGATGCATTATAAATTTTAAAAAAGTATTTAAAATTTGCTCTTCTATGAAATCTTCTACAATGATTTCTAAAGTGATTTTATTAATCTGTGTTAGTTGGGAATTAGTTCATATAATCTATTTTATTTAGTATATTAAATATTTATTTGATGGTGAATGGTGACTGCCACAGTTTTT